ACACACACACACACACACACACACACACACAAAATACTGTATCGCAAGAAACCTCTTCCAGAAGGCAGTTTGGCTCGGGTCCTGCCTCGCCGGCCAGTATAGTTCTGCGTTTTACGCAGTGGCAACAGCAAGTAGCTGCCCTGGAACATAGAGGAAACTGCCTCAAGCTGGTAGACTAGACAAAATAGCAGTGGCTTACCTATATAACAGTGTTTGGTTCCCTCTAGTGGCCAGTCTGATAATTACATCATGAAAAGCAATATTTGTAAGTATTTTCATTTAATATTTTTAATATTTTCAGATCATGGATAAGTGAATTACCAGATATTAATCTAACAGAGATGGGGGTACTACTGTATTTTTTCTATCTGCAGCACTGATCTAGCACTGTCCTAGTTTGAAAAAAATAATAAAACAAATATTAAAAATCACATCATATCAGAAGGGCATGTTTTTTGGCCCTGCCACTCACGTCACTTCTGTGATGACATAGGTCATAGAAGCTAGAAAATAATTTCTAAGATGGGATTTGTAGTCATGAAATTAGCCAGAAGGAATCCAACTTTGGTCTGTGTAATTCTAATGGAAGTTTCCAGATGCTGTTTTCTTCACAGAAGTCAGTGTTCTTATCTAGTAACCAGGATACGGAAGTCTAAACATTCCATTCCTGCCGAAGTCTAAACATTCTAGCAGCGAAACATAAACAGCACCTGGATTCCCATGAGACAGAAGGACGAAGAGAGATAACTTGTTCTTCTTCCTGATTGGCTATCGACGGGTGAGAAGAAGAAGGGGGGGGTTTTCCAGCACAGAAGAGAAATGCAGTTTTGCAGAGGGAGAGAAGAGACTTTTGCATCATAGATTTCTAACAGAGACTTTTGCATCATGGACTTTGGATTTTTAGTTGGACTTTGGAGTTCCTGAAATTCTTTAGGATGTAGTTCTTCAAGTAGTTAGAGGGGAGGCCAATGTCTTTCCTAATTTTTCCTAGATAGCAATTTTATTGTTCTATTTTTCTAGCTGGAGTTTGTTAGATTTCCAACTGGATAGTTATGGAAATGTTTCTGATTGCTTTGCTCTTGCATAAACTGAATTCTTTTAAATCTTTATTTTTCTAATAAAACAAATATTTGAACAGAAACAATCCTGCTACCAAACTTATTTGATTTCTTTCAGGCCACGGAACTATGCTACCTTGAGTCCAATATTTTCTTGAGTACTGGGAGATCTTAATGACTCTGTGACTCATGATTATATTCTGGTTCTCAATGATTTTTAAATGGGAATGGACTTGGGAAAGGAGTGTGGTGTATCTGCCTGAGATGAGACAGGGACTCATTTCATCTCACACAGGAGTACACTAACTCGGGACCCTCTCTATTCCGAGCGGTCTGTTTCTTTTAGGAGAACGGACTTTGCTGACAACTTCAATACTGGGAGTGACTTGGCAGGTGGCAACAGCAAGTAGCTGTGAGAAATAGGCAGCATGAGAATGGGCAATGCAGAACAAAATACTCAAAAGTGGTTCCAGAATGATGTGCCAGTAACCAGAGCGTCTCCATGGGGACAACAGTATGGGGTTTTATTTTAGTTTTTGGTGTAGACATTTTATTCCAGGAATGCATAGCCTTGGGAGAGTGAGACACAGGAAGCTGGAGCCCCCATGGTGCCAATTATAAACAAATTTTAAAAGCTTGTGTAGCCCCTCTACCAATACACTGCATACCTTCCACCTGCATTATAAGACCTTAGGAATGGATCTCAACAGATGGGAAACCTTGACATCTGAGCATTCAGACAAAAGCATTGTGGCATATTAAAGACTACTATATTTAATGTGAGCTTTTGTGGACTTTCTTAGACTGAGGAAGTGGACTTGTCCACAAAAACCCACATTAAAATATAGCACTTAGTCTCACTCTTTTTTTTATTGTTTTGCCTGATATGCTAGCACAGACTAACATGGAAACCTCTTCTATAAGTAATTAGGTACTCATGCTTAGCTAATGTCCACATTGCACTACTGCAATTTACTTTTATGTATGCATGGCTGCTTTTGAAGACATTTAAGAACCTACAGCTAGTATAATGGAAACTCCATGGTCAGACTGATAAGGCTTAGCCTGTTATAGCTAATAAATAATCTAAATAGGTAAGGTGCAATCTTTCCAATCAAGCCACCTACTCACTGTAATCCTTGGAAGTCTTTCTTTGGCTGCCATTTTGAAGGACAGAGTGGCTCCTGGACAGCAATTTCAGTACTGGTTCTTTGCCTTGAAATTCCATTGCTCAAGGCTGCCCACAGGCAAAAGTATGTATGTTTCTGCCAAGTAGTAAAGGCTCGTTAATTTCATCTTCATATTTTCATCCTAGAGAAATCTGACTTTATTGTCTATGTTAATGAACTCTATTTTAAAAAAGCAATGTTATAATGGCCAAAATCTTTTGCTTAACATAGTAAATTACAAGAGTAGGCCCACTAAATTAATTGGGTTTTCTGAGTCAACTTCTCCATATGTCCAATTGATTCAAATAGGCCTACTCTAAATACTCTACTTTAGCACAGTAAACCACAGTCTAGTAAATTACAAGAGTAGGCCCACTAAATCAATTGGGTTTTGTGAGTCAACTTCTCCATACGTCCAATTGATTCAAATAGACCTACTCTAACTACTCTACTTCAGCACAGTAAACCACAGTCAGAGTAGGCCCACTTGAATCAATGGAACGTACAGAGGAGTTGACACAATAAATCCCCATTGCTTCAATGGGCCAACTCTGGTGCAATTTAGTATGCTAAGCAACAAGATTCTGACCACTATTCTAACATTGCTAATAGAAACAATATCAAATGCAGAAATATGACTGGAAGAAGATATGAAGTTTTGGACCAGACCAGAAGTCTGCCACGTAGGGCTGCACAACTGATTCAGCCAAATTAGACTGAGCTGATTCAGACCTATTTAGTGATGGTATGCAGATTTGCATCAGTCTGAATTGTTGCAGGCTGATCTGGACACTAAAAAGAAATCATCCAGTATGCTTCATCCGGGGAAAGCAAGCAGGGACCTGGATTTTGCTATAGCATTGGTCTTCCTTGCAATCTCAAGCAAGAACCTCATCAGAAATTTCCAATCACAGGAAGGGATTGTGTAATGTCCTTGAAGCCATATATTCATTTTCATCTTGCACCTCTTCATTTCTCTGCTCTGTTAGTAGCAGATTGCTGATAATTTAAAAGTAAATGTTTTGTTGGTTGTTGTCTTGAGCTTCTGCCTCTTCATTGCCGTACTTTGTTTTGCTAATTCAAATAGTTTTCAATTTGTGTGAATCGTAACATCTTAGGAAGAGATGCATAGTTTTAATCCTAGCTTCCAATATGGACTGGGCAAGGCTCATTAGCACCCTTTGATTATTTATTGGAAGACCTTTGATGGGGTTAATAATCTAATAATTTTAGAACTGCAGAGATGGAAGGGACTCTTTGTGGTAGTTTTGTGTTTTCTGCTTCTTGCATTCCAAGCCTGAATGTCTATCTTTGAATCATGTCCAATATCCGGTCAGAGACACCCTCCACAGCCATACTCTCAAGCATATTGGTTCTGCAAAATGACAGCAAGCCTTTTTTCCCCAACATAATTTATTTGATTTGTATACCACTCCATTAGTAAACATCCACTATTCCTCTTGCTGCTTATGTGCCTTCTAATCTGCCAGTAAAATACTAGATGTGTCAAAATATCCACATGCTATTAAGGTAGTAACTGTGAACTGAGATGCTTCTTCTAATGAATGCCAACTATCAATTTTCTGAAATTGATAACCCAAGGCTAAAGGCAGAAATCGGGGGGGCTATTTAAATTAAAAAGATACAACTTTTTCATGGTAGCTTTTTCAAGGATATTATTTACAAAGTAAAATATAAAGATTAGTTCCAAAAGGCTACTTTTGTTACATTACTGTAAGATGTGCAGACTTCTAACATATTTCATGCAGCAGCAAGTCTCAAGTTCAAGTGAATTCAGTTCTCCAATTCAGTCTATGTGAGCATAAAATAACGATATTGATATGTGCCATCAAGTCAAAACCCAAATAGGGCTTTTCAAAGGTAAGATATTTAAGGAATAGTTTTACCAGTTCCACAGGCCTCCTGTGGCCTACTCCATCACTCTATCAACTACACCACACTGGATACAATGATATACTAACAGTATTTAAATGTATTGTCATTCCTGTCCTCTGAAGATGCCAACCACAGAGACTGGCAAAACGTTAGGGAAAAAAACCCTCCAGAACACGGCCAAACAGCCCAAAAAACCCTACAACCACCATTGGATCACGGCTGTGAAAGCCTTCAAGAATGTATTGCCATTCCTTAATTTACATTGCAGGAAGTTACCCTGTTTGATCATTTCCCCCTTTAACATGGCAGTGTACCGTGTTTCCACAAAAATAAGACAGGGTCTTATATTAATTTTTGCTCCAAAAACACACATTAGGACTTGTTTTCAGGGGATGTTTTATTTTTTTTTTCATGTACAATCAACGTTTATTCAAATACAGTCCTGTCATCTTCTGGTTGCTGCACAATGGGGGAGGGCAGAGTTTCACTTAACTGGGGCTTATTTTTGGGGAAACAGGGTACTATGGCAGCAAAAGACAATCTAAGGCAAAGCAGCTGTCAAATTAAAAAAGCCACCAGGTTGTTACCAAGAAGGCAGGAAGTCCCTCCCCCAACGCCCTGGTTTGTTTGTTTTTTCTTCCTTTTCTTCCTGCAGCATCCCCTTTTATGGTTACAGCAACCACATGGGAAATTTGACCTGTTTCTGCTTGGTGGTAAATAAGAGTAAAACTGTATCTCATTTTTTAAAACACGATGTAGGATCCAATGCTAAGGACAAAGTTGACTGTAATACTGATATTTCAAATTTTAACTTTGGTTTCATTTCTTTCTCAGTTTTCTCAACTGGGAAAAAGAAAAATATACTTACAGATTAGAGTTAAGTTTGAAATTCTATTCTCTGTGTCAGTATATCAACAATTATTGTTTTAACCAAAACTAGGACGTTCGTACATTTAAAATGTCATAAGTATACACAGCAGTACAATTTCAAATACTAAATCATACACAATACATTTTAAGCTCTTAACAGTAGTAAAGTTAATTTAAGTTTGATAACAAGTTCGCATTCATCAAAGCATTAACTTTTGTGTCTAAAATCAAAACAATTGTTTTTGTTGGTCTGCTAGAGGATTGCAGTTTGCAGAAGTTATTTGGGAGCAAAACCAGAACATTAAAAAAGAAAAGGAAAGAAAAAAAGGAAAATAAAAACCAGAATTGCAAATGCTCAAATAGATGAAAGTCATCTCCCAGAATGCCAGTGGTCCCTCTTAGACATTGTATTCAATTAACTAATCAAAGGTTCCAACCACACTGGAATTAGCATATGTCTCCTCCCAAGACAAACATGTAAATACGCACACATAAACATATATATGCACATATATGTGTGAAATATGTGCAATTCATTAATTCCTGTGAATCATTCTTCTTCAAATTAGAAGATGGAAATGACAGATGAAATGCACAACAGCAGCATAATAAACCAATGGCCCTTACTTATGCAGTGGAGTACACGAGTTAAAATGCAGCATCAAAATTCCCTTTGTTCTTCATTGTATGAGAAATTTACATCTGCTGGGCTGTCTGCTGACATCACTCGAGATATGTCATTCAGAACACTGAAACCATTGTATAGGCTAAATCAAACATTCAGTTTGTTTACAATAACCATTATTCTTTGTTACAAAATTCACATGTGCAATATTCTCTTAAAAATATGTTCTTAGAAAAAATGCCAAGACATTATTTACTGTAGGCTTAAGAAAAACTGTGGACTTTACATATACAAACCAAATTGACTTTTCTGTAGTTTTAAGGCAAGTGGTTAAATCTCTATTAGAAACGGGTCTTCAATAATTCAAAGGAGTATTTTGAAATGAAATTCTTTCAAATTATAAAGTAGAAATGATTAAAAGTGCCCACTGCATTGAAAACCCCTTTTTTACATTATGAAGCCAAATCCCAGCTTGAGCAAATTGTGGTATTTACATAAGACTCATGAGTTTGTGGGAGGGGGCCTCTCCCTAACATACTAGATTTGTGTGTACATGTACATAGACATAAATATATACACAAGCATTGAGAGTGCAGTTAAAGCATGAGCACATATTTTAACTCCAAAGTGCCGCCTTTAGTTAATTCGTACAGTAATGAAAGTAGTAATGGCATTAACTATCCCATTAGAACACAGTTTTTCTTTTAATGTGAGCTCCAAAAAAAGACTATTCTTTAAAGTGCCTAACCATGTTCTGTCTCATCTACACATCTTGTAATCAATCCTGTATTCCTTCGCGCAGGGCATCTTGAGATATGCAGCTGTAGTAATCCTGAAATGTTTTGTAAGAAAACAAGACTCTGCCAACTCTGTCTTAGTTGACTTCGAATGGCCAAAAACAAGGCTGGTGCAAGTCTTCATGGAAAACAGAGTATGTCAGATAAGGAGAATATTTCCCCTGGAGTCTTCAGGCTCTGTGCAAGGTGAACTGTTAGTCTCTGCATGATGATTTGCAAGAACATTTGTATTTTCGAGATTTGGCTCAGTTAGCATCGTTTTCTCAAACATGTTTTTCTTGCTTGCTTCTGGACAGTTCTGTACATAAATTACACGGTTATAAGCCTTAAGTCTTTTCCACAGCTGTATGTAGACTTTGCACTGAACATACATGAACAGAATTCCTCCAGTGAAACCAATAGCCACAACCACTAGTTTAGTCCAAAATGGCCACTCTAGAATACCTGGAGAAAAGTTTCAGAAGTTTCGAGAGTTAGCATAAAATGCCCCATTAAAGAAAGGCATGAAAAATCTTCTGATTCAAGACCCTTTAGAAAGTGGTGATTTATACGCAGATCTATAAACAGTTTGCAAAGCATATGACTGAAATGCAGATGCATATAAACTAAGAAAATTAAGAGAAAATTCATTTTGGCTTGTTACTTCCAAACCAGCAAAGAAATCTACAGAGCAGTAAAGCTTGACATCCCTCCATCTCTCACTATGATAACACTATCTTATTTTGGCCACACAGCGAGAAGACAACATGGCATCTCAAACACTGAGACCCCATGTTTGGACGCAGCTCTGAGCAACAGTTTGCTTAGCAATTATGCTTTATTTGCTATCTCTGAAATCAGGCTAACTAACTGTTACTCGTTTGTGGGCTACTAATCACAATCTGAAAGTACAATTTGAAACTGGCTTGTTAATTCTGGCTTGCATTAACCATAGCTTCTCCTTACATCTAACCTTGTTATCCTAAGGTCAGGGCTGTCTTCTTTTGATGGCCCATTCAAGCCATAGAGATGCCAGGGAAGAGCAGTTAAAAGAATAAACAACGAATGGGGCTAGGCTTGTCTTGGTATTTCCCAGACCTTACCTTTCCGTCTCATTCCAATGCATTCTATTCCATACCCACTTTCATCATAACAAGATCATCTTTCCCCACTAGCTTCAGGAGGGGCCATGGGCTATTTTTACTCGTTTCTGGCCAGGAGTATCCATTCAAGGCACAACTTTGCACCTACCAAATAACTCCAATTCACAGATGCCCTATCCAAAATAATTACTTGCTTTTGGTAGTTAAGAAAGATGTTCCTGGGTAAACTGAGGTCGCACCAGACAGCAGACTGCCCTGGAGGCCAAGGAGTGAGAAGACACAGCATCCACTTGCTTTGGCAGATAGTATAAAGATCTTAGAAGTAAGTTAATCATGCCAACTGGGTTAGGAACTCCACTCTAACACAGGAGTGAGGAAACTGTCCATCTCCAGATCATTCCTTATCACTGGCATGGCTGGCAAGGGCAGAGATGTCCAAGAACAGCTGGACAGCCACAGGTTCCCCAGTCCAAATTCCCAGCCATCTGTTGCTGCCTGACAATTCTAGAGGGCTAAACAAATTTTCTTTTGCTGCTGTGGTTCTGCCCTTCAACATTCCCTCTCTGCCCATCCTTTAAAGGATGCAATGCTCCTGCTTCGCCCTTGACAAAAGCAGGAAGACAACGCCTCATTTGAAAGATATAAAAATGCAGAATAAATTAGCATTCTGTGCTCATTGTGCACAACAATACTGACAAAGAAGACAGATACAGTTTTAGACAGGTACTAATACTGCACTCACAAAGATCAAAAGACTTACACCAGATGCTATTGGGTCTGTATGGATAGGAGTTGGGGGTGGGGTGACAGTGGCTTAAATTCAAGAAACACAAAAAAAACAGCAACATTACATTAAAAATAGGGTGAAAGGAAGGAGATTGGTCTGGACAAGAATAAGAAAAAAACAACAACTATGGATTGCTTTTGCATTTTAAAACTTAGTAGCCAGAATCCTATTGCTTAAGTATGCCAGGATATGCATAATAACATAAAATAACTACAGCAAATTGCCATTAGTTAAATAATTGCTGCTTATATTCCTTACTACATACCAAGTCATGTTACTAACGCACAATGAGTAATATAAACAGTGACTTCTTAACTAGTGGCAATTTGCTATTGTGGTTTACATTGTTGAATATACACTGATATGGCATATGTAAGCAATAGGATTCTGGCCAGTATTTATTAGCTTACTAGATCTTGGTGTGACACCTATATTTTTATTCACTGTGCATTTTGTTCTTGCTTGGTTTCAGTCATTAATGTATGGGCTAGAAGGTTTGCTCTACTTACACAAAGACACAGTTGCCAGAATCCCCTTGGTGTTTGTGTAAGTTTGTGTAACTCGACTTGGTCGCCTGATGAGGTGCCAGGGCACACATTGCCAAGTTCTGGAACCGAGATGTATCCTAGCATCTCACAGTTACTTGCAAATAGCCATAGCTAGTTACACAAGCCTTATGTGAAGACCAAATGGTCCTCTTTGCATGAATTCTACCCTTGACAAAACACAAAACAACTATATGAAAAGGAAAGAAGCAGCATGAAGTTTGTTCAACCATACAGATTGCAGCCTCTTGTAGGAGCATTTGTTTACTGTAAGAACGGTTAGGCTATGATCACAGTTCAATACATAGCTCCTTATGGCATGAGTTCCAAATATGTTTAATCTTCCCTAGGCAAGAAACAGCACTAAACTGTTTGGCCTGTCTCTGAAAAAAAATCCCGGAATCAACACATGGAAACCTCTGTAAATCTCCCAGGAGATCAGAGGAGGATTATGTCCAGTTGCTGCTCTCTGACAACACCCCTATATTACGAGACAAGTGGCCAAATTCTGTGCTGCAAACTTTTTTGATATTGCCTGAAATGAATAAAGTACATGTCTACTAGGAGAATCCATTCTGCGTGGCTGAAAAATAAAATGCTAATTTATTTTCCAGGGGGTTCCCTGAAGAAGCAGAAACAGTTTTTTTGGGTGGGGGAGATATGACACTGGTTGATGAGAAGCTCCACAGCTTTCTTCATTGCAGGTCAGACATATTTGAACAGGGGACATGTATGCTGGCAAGTTTCAGACCAAAGGAGATGTAGCCATAGCTGTAAGCTACTGGCAAATACTTAGGACTGGAGGAAAAGGAGGACATTTTGAGCCTGTGTTTGCTTCAAGGCCATGCCAGGATTTTGAAGAACAAATATTCATTGTTCCTTGCCTCTATTCTGCAGCTGGCCAATGGCAGGCAAACCAGTAACACCCTGAGGCTACAGGAGACCTGGCCCACCATAAAGCCATCTAGGACATCAGCCACGTAATTTGCAGACATGGTGGGAAAAAAAATCAACATTTGGCAAAATAAGTCAGCAGTTTCTTTGCCTGCTTCTGATACAAGCCCTGGCATGTTCAATAAAAGCGTAACTTTATGCCTGAACATGACTATTGTTAAATTAGGGATATCTTTTATCCAAATGTTAGCTCAGTTTCTGGACAAGGGATGGGAAACAAAATGTACTGTAATTCTGAAACTATGCATATGTAGCATTGTATTCTCCCAGTTATTAGACATTAATTGCACCATTCTTTCAAGCTGTGTAGGGGGTCAGAGGTATTCCCTTTTATTCCATGTTAGAGTAGATGATCGGCCCAGGATTAAACAAGGTCACAAAATAGGATTCTGTGGTTCAATCTGTTACACTTAGGCATCAATATCCAACACTGGAAGACTCAGCCTGTGGCACATCATAAGGGGAAGTTGGCCTTGCGACCCACTGTAGTTCTCATCCCCTCCCCCCACACTGTACTAACATTCCTGTTACCGGAAGCTGTTAGTGTTTCATTGGAAAGGAAACCAAGATAGTAAGAATCTGCATAAGGCAATATCCTGAGTTTCTTGTAGCACTTGTGGCTTTCTATAGCAAGCAAATTAATGTGATTACTTCAGAAGTGGAAAGTTGGGGGCAGCTTTCAAAATGAGAGGGTTCAATAGGTGAAGTGAGCTAGAAAATGGCTAAGAAAAGGAATGCACCAGAAGGGTTTTTTCCTATTATTCTTGGTTCAGGCATAATGGTCAGCAAGTAAGCAAGTAGAGGCCCAATGCCAGACAAAACCAATTTGAACCAAAGAAGGCAAAAAGGAAATCAAGTAATACGTGTTCATGTCATAGGTGTGTGACATGAACATAAAGATCTCTGATTTCATTTTTACTTAAAAAAAAAGCAAAGAGTTGTACCCGGTTTTGCCCACGAACAGAAGAAAGACTGCCACAAAGACAACTTCCTTTCCATTGTGGAGCCTCAAAAACCAGAAGAGCATCTGCATTCACTGTTTGCATTATGGGTTGTCAACCTGGAACAGAACTGCAGTGACCCTAATAAGGTTTCCAAGGTAAGTGAAGCATTTCAGGAGTGATTGTACCCAGTTTCATGCCCTCCACCACCATTAGTGGAGATTCAAACCCAGACATCCTGAATCCCACTCTGACACTCTATCCACTATACCATACTGGGTGTCCCACATTCATTAGATGACCACCAAAATTTTTTCACAAGCACTCTGGCAAGAAAAGCTGAGCAAACATACCAGTGGACTCCCCTTGTTTAATCTCTTCAGCAGTTCGATCTATGAGAACATACAGAGACCAAACCACGCAAGTGATAGCAATTACATGGAAAGTTACAGAACACATGATCTTCCTCCGTTCACTAGCTGTCATCTGCAGCTTCTCCCACTACAAAGAAATCCAAAAAAATATAATTGTTAGATTATTAAAGTAATACTGGGACACCACAGAATGGCCAGAATCCAACTTTAATTGTTCAGAATCCAGTTTGTGAAGGTGCAACATAACATTATGCCTGCATAAATCTGTCAGGCATTCTGCCCAGGCAATTTCCTTGCAGAATCAATTGCTTGGTTCCCCTTTTGACTGACTGCACAATGTGCCTGCATATGTTCTTTGAGGATAGCACCTGTCTTGGTGCAATGAGTACTACCACTTGTGTAACACTGAGTAATGAATGTGTAGGTACTCAACAGGATTGTAGCCACGGTATTGAACTGACATGGATAGACTTGTCGCCAAATTAGCAGCAGAAAACTGAAGTGCATGCAGTTTCTGTGTTTAACATATTACTTAACACTCACATTGCTTATCAATCTATGTTTCCCTCCTGAAGGGAAAATGTATTACTGTACTGTACTTGTATACATTTAATAACACAAGCGCTATTAAAAATGCCATGCACAGTCTTTGTTTGGTCCAGCTGAACTCCAAAACACACAAGTGAGACAGTGTCCTGTTTGCTGTTGTCCTTCACTTCCCGTAATTCTTCTCACATAAATGTGAACTTGATATTGTTATAACCAGCAATACTGACATCATGATGGATCCCTTCCTCCTACAGAACTCTAGGGAAGATGGGGGATGGGGAAATGGGAGACAGCCGGTCAACCTCTGCTATAGTGGATCTCTGCTGGTGCTAAAGCTCACCGACTTGATAGTGCTGCCTGGCACTCTGAAAAGTTAGCATTTAGAGTGTACTTTAACATGTTGAAAATATATCAATGACATTATCTCAGCAACATTTACAAAAATCTTGGATTATGCCCATCGGGATTATCCTCCTATAATCCCTGCTTTTATAACAACATCCACTCTTGTTATTTCTGCATTGTCTTGGGAGCAAAAGGCCAAATCTAAGATGACAGCACTTATCCCACACATTTTGCATCAGAGATGGCACTGATCACAGAAAAAAACCCAGCATGGTTCTCTTCAGTCCTCTCCCTTCTGCATTACATCAAGACACAAATGAAATGTAGGGCCACAATGACTAGTCCTTCCCCTCATGTTCACACACAGCACAAATGTCTGCAGGAGAGGAGGTGGCCAGTTGGCTGCCTCGGATGACTTGGCACCCATGACAGGAGAGGAAGGACTAGCTGGCATGACCCTGCTCCCTCTAAGCTTTGAACAAATGTGTGAAAAAAAGACGGCTTGTCTCTTTTGTTTTCCTGTCATGTACACCAGCGGTGCATCTCTCTCCCAGACAACCACCGCTGGAAGAGTTTGTCAAGCTCTCTTCCTCCTGCTCCTTCATGCAAACAAATGTATGCATCAGCAGCTCCTGACATACATGCGCACAAGTGGCACTTTGCAGCCAAGGGCAGTGACAGGGCCTCCCACATAGAGTGTTTCTCTGTCATACCCACATGCATCACAGCAGCAGCACAGACAGCATCTCAGTGCAGAGGCAGCAGCACATCCTCTTACATCACATGCACTCTATCTGACTTTCAGCCCTATGTATCTCACAGCTCTCTGCCCTTTGCTTCAGATATCATTAACATACAGTTTGTAACAGGTCACAGAGGACCTCCATAAATGTAGGTTAAGTAGCTCTGGGAAATAGGGAGGGCACTCCATGATTACATATTTCTCAAACAATGTAAGCCATGGTTGTTGTGGGTTTTTCAGGCCGTGGCTACAATCCTGTTGGCCGTGTTCTGAAGGTTGTTCTTCCCAACATTTTGCCAGTCTCTGTGGCCGCATCTTCAGAGGACAGGAGTAGCACTCTGTGCTCTGGTGTCCTCTGAAGATGCTGACCACAGAGACTGGTGAAACATTAGGAAGAACAACCTTCAGAACAAGGCCAAAGAGCCTGAAAAACCCACAACCACCATTAGACACTGGCCGTGAAACCCTTCGCAAATACAATGTAAGCCATCTAAAAACCAACCTTGCACCTACTTTTCTTAAAGGTTTCAATTTGGTCTCCATGATGAATTCATATTTGCAGAGTTCACAGCAGCGGGTGTCTGAGCTCTTGATCCACTGCTGTAGACATGCCTGATGCACAAAATTAAGACTTCCTGTGCAGTGACAGGGAGTAATTAGAGGGCTCTCATCATCTCCTTCACAATGGCATATCCTATGTCAGGAGCACAGCAATCATTAGCCGGAGGGATAAACAATGATCACCCAAACTAAGAAAACATACAGTTGAAAACAGGACCAATATGAGATACGTAGCATTTGAGATCATGCATACAGTCAGCTAGTGCAGATTTCCAAAGACTGCGAGACCTATTTCTGATCAAGTGCAATAACATAAAAAGGCTACACACATACACGGAACATTCTAATTAAGCGCAAACACTATCTATTTCTCAAGCTTCTCTTGAGATTCTGCTCTAGAGCCTATTTCACAAGATGCAACAGAGAAGACCAAGGGGAAAAAAAGGCAATGAAGGGAAGGCAAAAGAAGTACAGAACATCATATTGTTTATAGAGCTAACGTCCTCTACTTATTTTCCAAGACACACTATGCTCATTCAGACAGAGCACAAATGAGGTTGCTATGCAGAAATAAGTTAACTGGAACAGTCACTGAACTCTATAAAATCAAAGAACTGAATAAGCAAGTTTTAAAATGCTATAGAGGAATTATTTTACGAGAAAATGGAGTTGAATCCAAATCAATAAACTTTTCTCCACCAATTTTTGGATCCTCACTTGAGCCTTGTTTGCCCCAACCCCCAACCAACTATCCTGCATGGCACTTTGCAGGATACTCAACCACAGTCTTGGTGTAACCATGATGGCATGGGAAACAGCAGCCAGCAGTTTTGCACACTGCAAAGTTACTGTACACGTTTAGTGACAAAGTAGGCACAAAACAGAGATACATCGTCTCTATTGGTGTGAATCCTTCTAGGGCTCCCTCCGTGTTAACGACTGTAATTGAGTTTCTGCCCCGGTGTATGGAGAGCCTAGAACAAGAAAGATCTTGTGATAGGCTTTGGCGGATTGAATGATAACCGTTTGTGTCCTCTGAAGGAAGGATAACAAGAAAGATCTTGTGATAGGCTTTGGCAAATTGAATGATACCCGTTTGTGTCCTCTGAAGGAAGGACTCCTAAACAATGGCAAGGGGACTAGGAACATTGTATTGTGTGCATGAGACCTACATCCATTTCCCTTCTTCTCTGAAGCTTTTTTTTAAATAGTGTGCTGCCTAGTCTGGAGATAAGGAAATGGTGGTGAGTAGGAAATGGTCCATGCCGCTGGACTTAACGAGGGGGCAGCCTCTGTGGGTCCACCCGTGTCCGGCGGCAGTGGAAGCCTCGGTCATCCTTCCAGTCATTCCCGGAGCTCCGCTCTCTTCCTGCTCGCCTGGGCACTCCAGGCAGTGGGGAGGGAGGATGAGTCTCCCTGCATGGCTGCTGAGTCACTAGCCGAGTAAGAGAGCAGAGCTCCGGGAGCGACTGGAAGGATGAGTGAGGCTGCCACCGCCAGTGGACGTATGAGTGGACGAGCCAGCTGCAGGGGCCGGCCCCTCATTAAGTCCAGCTGCATGGGGGTATTCGAGTACCTCCATCTCTAGTGGTGAATATAGACAAAAAGTGTCCAGTTTCCTTCTCTTGAACCGATTAAAGATGAGCTGATCATACAACTCCCACATGAGTAACAGGGCCAGTACAACCACTTAAAATTACTGTTGCTTTAACAGCAACTGGACTTCACCATTTTTAAGAGACTGGGGCTAAAGTCCTCTTACATAATTACTCCAGTGTAATGCTAACAGTTTAACTTTTGAAGATGAACAGTTAAGAAATCATTTGACTAAGACCAAAGCTTCCACAACAGATAATGTCTACGGTGATTTCTTGACGTGAGGTAATTTGCTTCCAAAAGTTATGCCATTAGCATTACACCAGCATAACTATACAAGAGGATTTTGGCCAGGGTATACAATACAACATTAATATTGTTTGAGATAGACACATAGGGATGGAGTAGAGAGAGGGCAGGAAGTGGCTGAAATTCTGCTCTAGCTGCTATTCACCCCAAGTGGCTTTTTGTTGATTTTTACAGGTTTATTATTATTATTTTTTTGCAGGAAAGAAAATAACTGCTGCTTCCTCCAGAAAATGGCCCTAGGCATCCTCTTCTGCTACTGTTAAAGGACCTTTTGTTCCAACCCCCTGAAAATTACTGAAAAACCCCACAACTTGTCACATGCAAACAGGCTACTCTATTTTCAGAGTTTTCAAATCCTTAATTCCATAACTTGAATTCAAAGACTGACTCACATGCATCAATGGGGGAGAGGACAATCTGTTCTATACTGCAATTCCTCACTCTGTGTTGCACTAGACCCTCAGGAACTTTATTGGGGGGTGGGGGGAATATTTACATGGAAATTTACAGGTTAATCACAAAAGAGAAAACAAATTGCTTTGAGTTGTCAAAGAGTTTACAAACATATACACATTAGTAAGCTGGGAGAGCAGAATGGTCTTCAAACTGAATGCATCAAAGCAAACAAGCAAGCGAGAGTGAAACACAAAGTGCACAGCAGATCACCACCACCTGGGGATGCGGGGGGCACAGAAACAGAAAAAGGCGGTTCTTTGTAAACCAACCTGCAGGCATCCCCAGATACAGATACAGGGGAAAGCGGGGAAAATTTTTCTGACAAGAGAGAAGGGCAGTCTAGGTCACTATCCTTTTCAACTGAACAAAGTGGTGCCCGCTGGTCTGTAATTTTCAGCCTCACAGAGGAACTGTCCTCAAAGACATCATCATCTCCCATGTCATCTGAACAGAAACCTGTGCTCTCTATCATCACACTGGATGATTTTTCTGGCTGGAGGAAGCCCGAGTAGTTATCCAATTCCTGAATGCATGCACTGGTGCTACGAGAGAAGGAGAAAAGGCAGTGCAGCAATTTTTTCCTCCGGGACATTTCGTTGTCACACTTGTCCTCCAGGAGAGGAATATGGACTGCACTGTTGTTAGCACTAGCCCCAGAGGTGCTTGCGTAATTGGTGGAAAGCGACTGGAAATAGAGTTTGGAATTACTAAAAGTAAAGGGCCTGAGACTGAATGTTTTCTTCTCTTTGTGATAAAATGTGTTAAGACTTAGACACTGCTCCTGAGTTTGTGTCAGTTTGCCTTCTGAACATGTTCGCTCCGCGTAGCTAAAGCTTTGGGTGGTGCTCTGAGCCTTCTGGTCCATATCACTGAGAGACTTGGAGAATTTCAGAGCTTGGGTAGTTTTTCCATTCTTAGCCTTGAGACCATGGACACAATCATGCTCATGGAGATCTTTCTTGGAAGCCTGCACCATATCCTGACAGATTACTGTCACAGTGGACCCTTGAGTCAGAGAATTCTGGCAGACAGGATTTTTCAAGACAACAGCAGATTGCACTGGACTGTGATGACAACATTCAGAATACACTGCACTGGAACTGCATGCAGAACAGTGGAATAAAAGCACACAAAGTAAAAAACAATTATTAAAAAGAATGCATACAATTATGTGAAGAAATGACAATTTTAGCTAGTGTAGGAATGGGCAAACAGCAAGCAGCAGAGCAGTAGCAAACAGCAGCATGAAACAGACAAGTCAGTATGCGGGCATGAAGGACCTCATCGTGACTAATCTTTAAAGGGTGGTGCCTGCACTCCTACACACTCCTGAGAGACCATGTTTTAAAGTACAGAATATATGGGCAGGGGCTGCTGTCTTCTTCTGTGTCCTGCCATCCCTCCCCACCCAGTTTTTCTCTTTAGCTGCTGTAGTGCTCCAAGAAGAGAAATCATACCACATGGGAAAAAGCTGCCAAGAAGAAATCATTCAGGCAAAACAACACCCTGTGCGTTCAACAACAGCTATAGCCTGCATTGTACATTACATCCCCTTGAGGTGTCTGCATTGCTTCTGATTTATGGGTCACCTGAAATACATTAAGATACAATGGGCGTGCCACCCAAGTATTATATGCGGCTCTTGATATCATGCCCTAAAGCACTATACTTTTCTTAGTATTTTTTCTTTGAAAAGCCTGCTTCTAAGGCAACATTTTAATACTGTCAGTTTTGGGGAGGAAAACTTCAAAAATGTCTGCATCTTTGAACAGTCAGATATTTACAATACTTCTTTTGTAAAGTCTCCAAGACCTCCACTGCAATCCATGCACCCGAGACCTGACCTCACAAAGATGTGCATGTGTAGCCATCTTCGGCAATATTTCACTGCAATGCTAGAACTAACTTTTTTACCTGCAGATGTCCTGACTGGTTGGCGTAACAGATGTCTGAGAGAAACTGTGAGGAGCAGAAACAGTGGCAGAACTGCCAGTCTGGAAGAAAAACAACAGTTATACTTCCATACAAATTTGTTTCATGCAATAGAATCTGCTGGCAAACCACAAGACATAGATACTATGACATACACACTGAAGGCCAAACCAAAATGGTTCCGGAACTCTGTGACAAAACCATGTTGTTCTGTTCTGGCCTTTTTGTTAAAAATAATCAAAAAAATTATGCTACAAACACCAATTTTGATAGGGCTGAAGATTTTATTTCAAAATAGAAGTACTTTCAGAGAGTTTTTGTGCTTTCTTCGGTAGATCAGGGAAATGAGACAGTTGGAGAGTTAGCACACCCTCCTGTAATGCTGTTGCTCTGTTTAAGGATACAACTGCTTTAAAATTACTTTTTAATTTTAATACCAACATTTTTAGTAGGATTACATCCCACTCAGTGTAACTGTTTTGTGCTATGCTAAACTACATAAATATCTTAATTTAAGGTAGATCATATATCTTCACTTGATGAAACTAAGTCTACAACAGAGGTTCACAAGTTCAAAAGATACTAGTTTCAATTCCACAGCTTTTGTGGTCGGGGTGCGTGGGAGTATTCTCAGTAATGTGAGATACAGTACATGACTAATGCTCCACAAAAAGTAAAAAAAAATATTCCCTCAGATATGGCCAAAATTATTAATAGTAAATAGAAAAGACTCACACCCAATCCACAGAGCTACTACATGCACAAGTAAAAAAATGGTAAGGCTCATAAGCATAAAAAAGGGCTGAGCATCTTGGTGTTCTCCAGATGTTTCCTGTATTGGCTGAACTTGTAGCTCCAAAAATATGGAAAGTGCATCTGATGTAAGATACTAAAATTCTGTACTTCAGAATTTATCCTCTTCGAAAAGAACCCCAAACAAACAAACAAACAAATAAAAAACCAACCACAACAATATGTACCTATTTAATACTTAAAGCAAGACAACATCCTATAAAAAACTGAGAATATTTCTGTGAAACATGTTCAGGTAGAAGAGAACCAGTGTGATGTAGCAGTGAGGGGACTGGGTGGGCATTTGGGAAATCCAAGTTCTGGTGTACACTCAGCCATGAAACTCACTGAGAAACTTTGGCCAATCTCCTTCTCCTCAGCCTGACCCATCTCAGAGGGTCAGCATTAGGAGGACAAAGTGGTGAGGACAAAAGCTGTATACATTTTGCAAAACAGGTAACTAATTTGGTAAGACTGAATAAAGTTATGTGTGAATAACTCAGGCACTTTCATTTCTATGCTAACACTAAGCATCAATGAAAAACTCACCTGAGAGCAAAACAAAAAACAAAACAAAACAAACAACAACAACAACCCAACAACAGTTCCTTGTTCCTGCCCTGCCCTCACATGGACCACAGATCACAGGATTCAAAGCAACTGTGCATCCAATTACAGCACACCAACCCTAATACATAACCCCTGACAAGGAAAAGGTAACTTAGGTGACAAGGCATGTGACATGAGCATGCTTAGAGGTTGCTGAGATTTACTGAAGATTATTTTCCACCACAAGCAGTTTGAGGTGGCCTGAAAATCATATTAGGCATCCCCCAAGATCTGAGGCTCTGGGGCTCATGGACTACAGAAAATGGGTTCCCATAAATAGATCTCCTCTAAATAACTCCATTTACACAGCAGAGAAGTATGGGAAATTCCAAGATCCCCAAATGCTTAAGCATTTACTGGAACTCCCTCTCACTGCTGAATTTTGAAGAGCATAGAATACACCAAATGCCTACAAAAAGTCTAAATTGGTAAGAAAAGGTAGACATCCTCAACTAGAAATACTATCAGTGCAATGTTATACTTCACTATTTCCCTCAGCATCTTAATTATTAAGAGAGACCAAAGACCTCTCACATAAAAAAACAAAACAAAGTAATCATAAAAAAGACCTTGACAATACCTGTTCTTTCCCTTTGACCTTGCTCTTATTAACTTTGGAAAAAGTAACATCCCGGGCTGGAATTACAGAGATTCGATGCAATGGCATATTCATCACACTATCAATACAGGCTTGGTCCTCTTACACAGATGAGGTTCCTGATGTGAAGATCATTATCTGCCTGTTAGGCCCTGCACCTGAAAGTAAATATCAATTTGACAATTAGAAAGCAAAATGACAGAAAAGTAATGGGAAGCACACAGCGCCATTAATATGTGTAAGAATACTACTGGGCCTTAGCAATGGATAAACCGGACCTGCAACAAAATGTCACAGTATGGCAGGCTCCTGTTCTTGTTTCTAGCCGCTACTGCATTCCTCTTCTACTCTGACCTTCTGTCTCCCATCCCACATCAAATGAGTATGCTGAGCCTTCACTGAGCTGTTTTGGAGCCCCCGCAACGTTTTCTGTACTTTGTTACACTTGGATTTTCCCAAGCTTGTGATACCCCCTGGTTGTGCATGAATGCTGGGGTTTTGCCTTACACTCCAGAAACTGAGTTTAACCATTGACTGATACAATAAATAGCGTGAAATGTTAACGAGAAACTCATGTTGTGCATTCCAAACAAGCTATGGAAGGATCAAAAACAATTATACTTTTACTCATCTGTAAACATCTGTGTGTTTAGCCTTCACCTGGCACTCTTTTTGAAGAATTTAAGTATGTATGTATATATGTATGCATTTATGAATTATACTTTTACTCATCTGTAAACATCTAATCTGTGTGTTTAGCCTTCACTTGGCACTCTTTTTGAAGAATTTAAGTGTTTATGTATGTATATACAGTATGTATGTATGTATTTATGTATGTATACTGTGTGTATACATACACACGCAGCCTATTACTTTCAGTATATATGTATACACACAGAGACTTCTTCATAGATATATATGAGAAATGCATTTAGCAAAAAGCAGAGTATACAATAAACAAGCAACACGGCTATATGTACCTAGGGATTTATTCCACTATGCATATCAAACCCATTGGCAGTAGTAATCCCTAGATCTTCTTCCCAAGCATATACTATACCTGCTGTACCCCTAAGTGAAACATCAGTTACGAAATCATATTCTATTGAGTGCTTTTCTTCCACAGAGTATTACAGATTCAAAGAGGAAGAGTGACTGGACAGAAAAATGAAATGTGTTACTTGAAAAATCTGGAACCATGAAGCCCAAATGTATAGAACATAAGAGCCCTGCTGGATCAGGCCAAGGGCCCCATCTGGTCCAGCTTCCTGTATCTCACAGTGGCCCCACCGCATGCCTCTGGGAGCACATGAGACAACTAGATACCTGTCTTCTGATACCCCTCCCCTGTATCTGGCATTTTGAGGTACCTTCCCTTTAAGCCTGGAGATTATACATCCCCATCATGGCTTGTAACCTGCAATGGGACTTTTCCTCCAGAAACCTGTCCATTCCCCTTTTAAAGGCATCTAGGCCAGATGCCATCACCACATCCTGTGGCAAGGAGTTCCACAGACTAAAAACATATTTTTTCCTTTTTTCTGTTCTCACTCTCCCAACACTCAATTTGAGTGGATGTCCCCTGGTTTTAGTACTGCACGAGAGGGAGAAGAGCTTCCCTCTATCCACTTTCTCCATCCCCTGCATAATGTTATACATCTCAAACATGTCTGCCCCTCAGGTGCCTTTTCTCTAGACAAAAGAGCCCCTGTAGTCTTTCCTTATGAGGGAGGTGCCCCAGCCATCAATTTAGTTGCTCTCTTGTACACCTTTTCCAGTTCCACTATGTCTTTTTTGAGGTCCAGTGACCAGAACTGTACGCAATACTCCAGGTGTGGCCTTACCAGCGTTTTGCACAATGGCATCATAATATTGGCTGTTTTATTTTCAATCCTCCTTTTTAGACTTAGGCTGAATATCAGGAAAAAAACTCTTAACTGTTAGAACAGTATGGCAATGGAAGCAATTACCTCAGGAGGTGGTGAGCATTTCAATGCTTGAGGCATTCAAGATAA